TTGCGCTGGAACCCCCATCCCCTATACTACTAGCCTGCACAAGTAACCCAAACTTTCATAAGTTATGATAAATTAACAACTGGTGTTGAGGGTTGTTTTTTTCGATTTGAATGGGAAGACTAACTAGAGACGTCGCTAGGTGAATTGTAAATTTTTATCCAAACAATTTTAATAATTTAGCAACATTGATAAAGTGTCTGGATTCAAGTCGCACAAAATTCCGTTTTGATTTCGTTTCCCTTTGTTTCCTTTCCTTTCACAAACATGCAGTAAGCGAAAAATTCCACTGATGTAAAATAAGAAAAAGTAAGGACCTTGGATTATTCAGGAAGGAACGCAACCGAGGAGCTCTGGGTACGAGCTATTTAAGGTTTTCTTGGAAATTTAGACCACTTATGTAATGAGCCCGATTTAGGCATAAAATGTCACATGACTAGCACCTGACTAGACGGTAACCACCTTAATTTCGTCAAACCCTGGCCAGTGCGGTTCTCCTACAACACGGAAGCATCCTTGCTTAGTCTTTTCACTTCCCTACTGCCTGTTCAGCTCGCGGCCGAGCGATGGATTATGATTAACGGCGCAACAGAAACCTGTGAGTATAAAAGTTGTTTAGATATGGTTTTCGTTCCAATTTGATTGAAATTTGAGAGAAATTCATACGACTTGACCTTTCTGGGTATGAGTGTTGACAAACACGACTAAGCGTTTCGGAGATAACGCGACACGAATTACATGTGCATTTTGTGAAATTTCTTCCTTTAAACACGTCTCTTACTTAATAAATAATATGTCAATAGTAATATAAACTTGATAATATAAACTTGATAAGAAGTGTTTTTTGTAGCATTTTAAGATAAAATTCAGCGATAAAACTTTACTAAAAAACATAATATAACACGACGTTTTGACGTTAACTGAACGTCATTATCAAGTGATAAAAAACTAAGAAAACGTTAAGTTATATACATGAATAATAATGAGTATAAAAAGGTGTGAAAACGAAAAACTATGTAATTTAAATATTGTATAATATTTGAATTACATATTAAAATTTAAATATTTAAATATTGTACAATATTTAAA